CCCTTCCTCATCGCGAACTTCTTATTCTGCTCCAAACTAGAGACATCTTCCTTCTCCCTGGGTCCTCGGGCCAGAGTTTGCAAAACTTTGGACGGACGATCTTTCAGAGTCTCTGCAGGTCTCTAAGCCTGTGATCAGAAGACCTGTCTTTGCCCTCAAAGTGAAACAGAAAGACTAGATTCACAGATGAGAAATGGCTGGAGAACAGTTTCAAGGCAACAGGGATGCCAGTGAGTGGCAGGTGACACAGATGAAACCCTTAGAATCGCGGTGTATTTACTTGGGGGCCCGTGAGGGAGGCTTTGGGGGAAAGGTGAAACTGAGTCAGGGCTTTTCAGGGATAGTATTTTCTTCTAATGAAAATGGGAGCAGCTCCCTTGGATTGGGCTTCTGGGAGTGGACTAGGCGAGCCCAGCTGTGAGAAAGGGCCATAGCACCCTCAGGAAGGAGCAGGCCAGATCTGGGGTGATCCGATATATTCTGATATATTCACTTCCTTGGCCTTTGGTCTATTTCTATCCACCCTCTCATCCCCTCACGTCAAAAGTTTTATCCCATCTTTGCTTTCACATGCAGTCATCTGTTCTCTCTATGGCAGAAAATTGTCCATTTGTAGTTATTTTATCCTTTTAGAGCAATTTTTATTTGACATTTTCCTGGGAAATTGCTAGTGTACCAATCCCTTGGGGGCTGGAAGAACAGGTTGCAGAATGAATGGCAAGCTGAAAAGGTGGTGACAGGAGCACAGAGTTACTCCCTAGGGCCTCCCCAGCCTCCCTGCCCTGGCCTTTCCTCTTTCCAAGCCTCTCCATTTCATGGTGGAATTCAACAGGTATGCCTGTTAACCAACCAAGTATTCACAAGATGCTTTTGTAACACCACTATTGGTGTTGAAGGGACTCGGCCCCTCCAGTTCTCCTTAAACTTGAACACTGAGCTGGTGTTTGCTTTTGTTTTGTGTCAATAACCGAAATAAATTAGAATTTTATTGTTGGACCACCAAGTCCATTAAATTATAATGGATGTGTGTGTGTGTGTGTGTGTGTGTGCACACACTTTGATCTGTGTGGTTATATGTGTGTATGTGGGTGTGTATATGTCTTATATTAGATACATGATGTGCTGTTTGTGCTATGAATTCAGTTTGACTTTAGATAATGGCTATACTTCTCTGAGCTTCCTTTGTCCCACTCATAAAATAAAGGCGCTGGATTAATATATGAAAACATCTGGCACATGGTAGCCTGTCAGTAAAGGTTAGCTGAATTAATTAATGCATCTAAGGACCCTTCCAGGTTTATAAACCTGTCATCTTAAACCACCTTCCACCTACATCTTTCCTTTGGCGATCAAGTAGTCCCACCTCATTTCTCAGCTGAGGAAATGGGCTTGGTGGAGAACATGTCCCACACCAGGGGCAGAGCCGGTAATGGTATGGATGGAGTGCCTTCTACCTGTAGGAGAGCACCAGAGATTGGAGAGTCTTGTCAGGGCATGTGTGTGGTTAGAGGGCGGCCAGGAAGGAAGGGTGATGACACAGAAGCATAAGAAACAGACTCTGCTTATGATCAACATTGGGCGAGCAGAGGAAAATGCAGGAGAGGACGTTTCCAGCCTCAACCTGTTACGTACGAATACTGCTGACCAAGAGAAAGTAGGGAATTCAGAGGTCGCTGAGCACCGAAGGAGACAGCAAGAGCTGGTTTACAGAATTCACGTACAATTACCAGCGTTAGTACAATAACGAGATTTGTTGCACGCTATTGGGTACAAAGCACCACGCAAACTGCTAACATTTTATTTAAGCCGCACAAGAATCTGTGAAGATTACTGTTATAACAACGCCCGTGAAGATGTGAGGAATTTCGGGAGATTCTTCCCAGCCTGAGGCAACAATGGAAACCAAGGCACAAATGTCGAGGTGTTCCCTCTATATTTGGTTGGTGTCCACCAGTTCCCCTATAAGCAATATTGAAAATTTCCAGAAACTTCATCTCTTATGCCCTCCCCCCGCCATTTGTCTGCTTGAAGTATCAATACTATCTCTTCACTCCAGAATAATACCTTTAAGGGCATCTCAAACCCATAGGGCAGCCTGGACCTGATAAGGCAAATCAGGATACATTCCACTAGTTAAATCCTCGTGACGTTATAGCTTTTAACCCGCCTGCATTTCTTAACCTCTAAAAGCATGGGAGGAAAGCCCCCAGACATGTGATACCTCCCAGAATCACAACCCAAAGAGGTCCAGCAATAAACTCGACACAATGGAAGATACACAACAGCCCACGCATAGCCCGCACGTACGTTATACGCGTTGCATTGAGCACTGGCGTTGCGTACAGTTAGGTCCCGGCTGTCCTGAAATTCATGGGGGCCTCATTGGGCTTCCTGGGCACAGGCCATGGTCCATGGTCCACGGGTTTTGCTTTAGAGCTGAGAATCCAGGCAATGAGATATTTGATATCATTATGGCATTACTATTATCATTTTAGTTGGGATCATCGTATTGAGGACTTGTTAAAAAGGATTCTTTATCTTTTATGGATTCACATGAAAATTATTTGGTGTTGGGAGGACACGATGCAGGGGAAGGATGGATGAAACAAGATTCAGGCTCTGAATTAGTAACTTTTGAAGCTGGGTGAAGCCTTCATGGGAGGTTATTATACTTATTTTTCCCACTTCTGTGTGTACGTGAAATTTCCCATAATACATACATTTTTTGTTAAAGACTGGGTCTGACTGAAGGAGAAATCAGAGTGGTCAAGCAATATCCTGCAGAAGCGACTGTGGGAGTAAGAGATTTTTTCCCAGCAAAGATGCTCTGAGCTCTGTGACAGGTGAAGGGCCTTTGATGCAGGCAATTCCCTAGAAATGAGCCCCTCACACGGCCTGCAAAGCTGGAAATACACATCCAGAGCCTGAGATACGTCCACGTTTACACATTTATTTGGATTTAGAGAAACAACACATAAAATACTTTGATCATACACAAGTTTATATTTGGTAAGAAGAACAGGTTGCCATGTGTTTATAGTTTTTATTGATTTCTGTCCTTAATAACGGAGTGATGCTGGGGAGATGTCAATGTCCTTTGGAAACACTGACTGGGGACAGGACTTTGGCACAGGTAACTAATCAATACACAGCATTTGCACTTAGCATTTGAAAACAGGAGGGCACGTGCAAGGTGATACCCGCTGTTAGGTTCCTGGGTTCCTTGTCCTGCTGCTATATTTACACCCGTGCTTTCTTGGTCCGTATTCTGAGGAGTAGCACCTACTCCCAATCTTAGCAGGGACAGCGCCTGCAACGTTGGCTGTTTGTGACCCTCCATACTGGTTTCCTCTGTTCTTGGAGACACTGAAGTAGCATCCTCCTTGCATTTTGTGAAATCCCACAGTTCTCAAAGGAGATTTCTCAGCAGCGAGCGGAGCCGAGGGTATTCCCTGTGAGAGCTGAGGTGCAGGGCACACCGTTTAGCAGAGAGAGGGCGGGTGAGAGGGTTATGGGCACAGATGCGAACATGGTTCTCAGAAAATTAGTACGGCTACCACACAGGAAAAGACACATCAATAATATATTGTACAAGCTTTTACAGCAAAACATGTTGATTTGCAACACTGTAAGTTCATATCTAAAGTGCACAACCCCCATCTGAGGTGACGAGACAGTACTAGCAGTATAATAAAGGCAACACAGTTACACACACAACTGATTTCCTTTTCTTTCCTCACGTCCTTGAGACAGTTCAGGAAGTCAATACCATTTATGTGTCTCCGATGGAGACATACCACACTGTTTTTTCCAAGTATTTAAAAATAATAAACACAATGTTGCTATCTGAATGAAAATGGCCATGTCAATTGTGATTAAAGCTAAAGCCAAACTTTTCTAATATTTGTAAAGAATGGTCCCACATAAAGGCCTTTGGCACTGGGAATTTGGCTAAAGTTCAAAACAATCTCCCTTCCTTCCGTCCTTCCTTCCTTCCTTCTTTCCTCCCTCCCTTTCTCTTGAGTAGATTACAAACTTACTTTAAAGAATATTTATTAAGCTACCGGGACTTATCAGGCTTTTATTTACCTCCTTCCCTGGGTTATGGCTGGTAGCTTTTCACTGCATAGGATTGAGGAAGGCTCCCAGCAAACTTGGGGACGAACCTGGAAGGGGCAGGGGGTCGGGGAAGCAAGCTCTTGGTAAAAACTCTTTTGCTGGAACTTCAAACACAGGCACAAATGTTCCTCCTTTAAGTTCTGTCATACCATCAAGTGAAAAAGCAGCCGCTTCTGATAGAGAATCTATAACCCTAGATAGCAGCATCCTGGAGTAGAGAGGGATCTGTCCAGATCAGGGCACTGGGCTTCACCGTCTCCTCCAAGCAGGATGGTGGGTTTGATAATTAGTGTCTTCGCCTCTGAGATGGGGTCTGTGGCCTGAGGCTCACAATAGGTGGGCAGTTGTGTGCTTATTCTCAACAGCTAATTTCTAGAAAGGAAAGGAATGCTTGGCCATTAGACCCAGCCTAGAATGGGAGCCTTGTTCCTTCATGAAATTCTGGGGCACAGATAAAGCGTTTTCTTCTAATAGTCATAGGGAATCCATTCGCCTCCTAGACAGAGAGGGCCCAAAGCCATGTTCATCTCAAATATCAACGTTTTCATATATAACCTGGGAGAGAGAATGTAGCGGCAAGCTCAGGAAGCTTTCAGGTGGTTGGATCCCGTGGTCATATTAGGGGCCTTTTCTATTTGACGAAGGATGGGGTCCTCTTTCCTCCCTCATGCACCTACCATCTTCCTGACCACTGCTCTGACTGGGGCATACAGAAAGGATGAATGTTCCTAAATGTGCATCCACAGTCTGCATATATGGGTCCACTACCTCTTTGACTCTGACAGTCTGTGCCCCATAAATATCTATGGGAGCTCTCGTTAGCTCACGTCTCTCCATCAGGTTTGCAGGGGCAGAAGGATGCTTTTAAAATATTATTTTGAATTCTAAGGAGGATATGATCTCTACATAGTCTGGTCACTTTGGGTCTTGATGGGAGACAGATGATAAAAGAAGGTCTTAAGAGGCTGTCTCAAAATTCTAGGTGAGGACCTCATTTCCTGAGAGGAAAATAACCACTAATGGAGTAGAAATTAATTATTGGGAATCCCAGTCACGGGGAGCTTAGCAGGAGAGACTTTTGTGGGTCGGAATGGGGAGTGAATGGGAAAGAGCAATGACCCGGGAGGGGAACGACTCCTTCCTGGGCAGGGACACTGTGGCATCCAGGATGACATCATTATTCTCACACAGAGATCTAAGGCCAAGTTTAATTTTCTGGGCTCACCACATCTGGAGTGTGTTTCATGCCTCTGCTTGGGCTGATTAGATTTTATTTTTATTTTCTCTAATGAATCCAAATGACTTAATTAAAGAATACTGTTTGGGAAGATATCTCAAGAACCAGCATCAACCTTCTGTTCTAAACAGGCTGAACTGGAAAGCAGAATAGAGACGATGACCCTAATTTAGTCTAAGGTGAAGCGTGGCTGTCATGCCTACTGAGCGGGTCTACTAAGGTCCAATGGATGGAAAACTTAAATGGGAAGTAAGTCTTACTGTCGAGCTAACCAATCATTTTAAAGAACCTGCAGTATCCTTTTGTGTCTGTTTTGTAATACTAACTTTAGAGATGTGATAAGTCATAAAATGAACAGAAAGAAGGCATCATACCTTTTAAGAATTTTGTGGGCCTATGTTTCAGAATAACTTTGCTAAGTGTTTTATTGTGCCTCCGTTAAAAGAAAGAGAAAAAAGAATCTGGCTTAGTTTTTAATATCTGCCCCTGCAGTTTGTATAACCCATATAAAATAAAAATCTATATGTTACAAAATAGGATTTCTTTTTAATATATATATTTTCCTTTTGTAAAATTATATGTATTTAAATATATTTGAAATGTTGCTATAGGTAAATTAGAATTTTTTTTTCTAATACTATGAAAAAGGCAAGAGTTTTTTTATTGTCAGCATACATTCTATATTTACTTTATCCTTTTCACTGCACCCCAGAGAACCTTTTATGATTCAGGGGCAATTTGGCACTATTCAACCCTACTACTCTGAAGTGAAAATAAAGTTTGATTTGCACACTATATTAAAAGTAAGGGAAGTATTTGTAACAATTTTAAGCTTTTCCTTAGTGATTAGAACACAGCCTTTTGTCACTAATTATTAGAGAGGTATTCTAAACTTAAGAAAGGATTTTTAAAAGGAGCAATGTTTGTTTTTGATTTTTAAACTGTACTCTACTTTGACACCACAATACAGAAATAGATTTACTTTGGAACAAACTACAAGTACATTTACACAGTGTGTGACAACTTAATTGTCTACCTAGAGAATTGAAACAGCTTAGTGAGCTAGGTTATTATAAATCTTGTCCAAGGCGTTCTATTTCTTCAATCAGGAAGTCAATGTCTTGGTGAGTTGCTGCGGGGTTTGAGATGACCACGCGGAAGAAATTGACCTTGTCTCCCAAGGGCTGGTAGCTCACCATTGTGGTCCCATACTCCATCATTCTGGCTTTAATCACTGGAGCCACCTGCGGAAGAGACCAGACCACGACGGTGACTGTTTCTCCCGGGGACTCTTCCTTTCATGAAAGAACCCAATACCAAGTAGCATTTTTAGTTTTTAACTGAACA